CTGGGAGGTTACTAGTTTGAGAGAGAAGATCAAACATTAGGTCTTGACAAATTATGTTGAAAGAGATTTTACAGTATGCAGGTTGGAGATAACTAGTAGACAGACGATTATGTAGAAGAAATGCTTGAATTAGAGATATGTATATCAGTCATTGACATACAGATTGCAAATGGGGTCACGATCATGAGCATGGATAAGATTGCTAGGGAGAGAGAATAATAATGGTGGATAGAAGATGATTGATAATGAACTTGGCCTTGATGAACTCCACTATCTAATGAAGTTCCAGTATCTAATGAAGGTGGAGGAGGATGAACCTGATAAGAAAAAATTACCAGTGATTACAGAAATAGAAGAAAAAAATAGAATAGAGCGATATAATGGAGGCAAAAAAAATTTCAGGAAAAGGAGAGTATGGCCAATCAATAGTGTATTGCTAGATAGCAAGAGAGTATAACTCTTCATTAGATTTAGTGACATGGTTCCTTTATGAAACAATGTTTTTGTTGAGAAACAATATTGAGTTGATTAAAGAGTATATAAGAGGTGGGGAACTGACAGTAAACTGGACAAATCTTTTTTCGTGTTTTGTTTGGTATTTTGTTCTTTAGATTCCGCATGTAAGTAAAATTATATGGTATTTGTCTTTGTCTGACTTATATCAGCACAATAACTTCTAGATTTACCCATGTTCCCCAAATGGTAAGATTTAATTCTTTTTTATGGGTGAGTAATATTTCATTGTATTTATGTATCATATCTTCTGTATCCATATGTCTAGTAGTGGATACTTAGGTTGCTTCCATATCTTGGCTATTGTAAATAATGCTGCAATGAACACAGGGGTGCATAAAGCTTTTCAAATTAGTGTTTGAATGTCTTCAGAAAAATACCCAGAAGTGGAATTGCTGGGTCATAAGATAGTTCTATTTTTAATTTTTGGAGGAACCTCCATACTATTATTGATAAGTGGCTGTACCAATTTGCAATCTCACCAACAGTGCACGAATGTTCCCTTTTCTCCACTTCCTTACCAACACTTGTTTGTTGATTTATTGATGATAGCCATTCTGACAGGTCCGAGTTGCATTTCCCTGATAATTAGTGACCTTGAGCATCTTTTGATATGTCTATTGACCATTCGTATGCCCTCTTTGGAGTAATGTCTATTCAGATCCTCTGCCCAATTTTTTCATTGGATTGCTTGCTTTTTTGGTGTTAATTTATATGAGTTTCTAATGTGCTTTGGATAATAATCTCTTATCGGATATGTCATTGACAATTGCCTTCTCCCATTCAGTAGGCTATCTTTTTGTTTTATTGATGATTTCCTTCGCTGTGCCAAAACTCTTTAGTTTGATGTTGTCTCATTTGTTTATTTTTTTTGTTTCCATTGCCCGAGGAGATATATCAGAAAAAATACTACTAGGAGCAATGTCAGAGAGTTTACTGCCTATGTTTTCTTCTAGGAGTTTTATGGTTTGGGGTCTTATATTTAAATCTTTAATCCATTTTGAGTTTATTCTTATATATAGTATAAGATAAGTCATCCATAAACTTGAAAACCTTACAAAATATTTGCCTTTGTAGAAGGTGAGAAAATGGCTGGAAGGGAATAAGGGGGTCAAGAGAGGATTGATTTTTAAAAAGAACAGTCAATTTGTTTAAATTAACATATGTATAATTAAATTGAGAGGCAGGGTTTGAATTTATAGTAGGTAGATAACAAAAAGTTGATAGATGTCTAAGAATAAGTGAGAGAATAAAGTATAAATTGCAGGTAGAGGGATTGACTTTCAGTTAAAGAAGGGAAACTTGTTCAAATGTAAGAGAAAGAAATGGGAAGGGAACATGCAGGTAAGATTGAATATTTGGACATAAAAAGTGGAAGAAATTCTAGTCTGATCATTGCACTTTGTAAAGTAGAAAACAATGTCATCTGTTGCTATCTGGAGAAAGAGGATGGGTCATAGCTTTGAGAATTTTGAAAAAAGTTTAAAATGATTTCTATGGAGAGTCAGAAATCAAGTTGAAAAAGACTAAATGTGGCAGGATGCTAGGTTTTTTCGAGGCCGTTGATCATTACTTTAGTTTGAGTTCACTCAAGAGTGAATCTGGAGGCAAAGATTTAGGTGCAAGTAGTTTATCTGGGAAGCAAAGTGGGGAAGTGAGGTTAGGAAAAGGAGGCAACTGATACAGGGTGATACATCAGCAGGTTATTGTTGGAAGCAACTGGGGCTAAATTCTTCTGGGAACCCTCTGACTCACTGTGTACAATATCCTTCTGGATTCCTGCACCATGAAGAGCCAGGGAGCTGGGGTATTTATCCACCAACTCCCAGTTCCCACTAGTTAAGGGTCATTCCTAAGGTATAAACATCTCAGCACTCTTGGCTCGCCCTATGCAGTGGCACCTGAATGCCCACAGGCAGAGAGACACAAGGATTTTTATATTATACAAAAAGAAAAACAAAAATGCCTTTATTAAGAAATTTTGATAGGAAAGATGCACTGGATTTGGTAGGTGGTTAAATGACTAGACAAAGGCTTGATCTAATTAGTTAACATAAATGAGAAAAATGGAAAGAGACATTTTTAGAAGTAAGCAACAGGACTCTACAGGCATACCTCGTTTTATTGCACTTAACTTTATTGTACTTCACAGATGTTGTGTTTTTTTAAAAAAAAATAAAGGCAGACCCTCCACCAGCAAAAAGATTATGACTCTTTTATTGCAATATTTGCTTTATTGCAGTGGTCTGGAACTGAACCCACAATATCTCTGAGGTATTCCTGTATTTTAAAATCAACATTATGAATGAAGAAATAGGAAAACTAATAATTAAACCTAGGAAAGCAAAATACAGGATCAAGAGTAGTTCAAATTAGTGTTTGGATGATAAAACACTAATTTGATAAAATAAAAATCCATATTTACAGTCCATACGTAAATGAAAGTATTGGCATGCAATGGCATAGGACTTGGGATCAAAGTCTCTGAAATCAGATCTCTGTTCCTTCAATTTCTAGTTAGGTAGCCTTTACTCAGTAAATTGTATTACTATGAACCAGGCCCTCTTCAAGGTGAAGGCTATAACGGTGAACAAGATGAGTTAAGTTCCTGCCCATGGTTCTAGTCTGAGATCAATTAATTTCTCTGTGCCTCCATCTCCTTATATGAGCAGAGAGATTAATAATACTTTGCCACATGCTTTTGTAAGAATGCAAAAAGAGAATAGCTTTTTGGAAGTGTTTTGTGTCCTGTGAAGCTCTGTATCAATTTAATTTTAAACCAACAGCCAGCAACAAACATTGAGAAAATTTTAACAAGTTTATATGATTTAAAGCCCTGAAATATGAGTTCAGGAAATCAGTTCATAAGTTTGTGATAAGGGACAACTGGCTTAAAGATAATTTATGTGAAAAATTCCTAGAAGTTTTAACTCGATTTATCTTCAGTGTGAGTTGAAAGTCCAATATAAAGAAGTCAAAACATTGATTTAGTTCTTAGGCTGCATCAATGAAAGTACTAGAAGCCAAGAGGGTAATTGTTCTTCCCCGATTATACTAAATACTACTATGAACCATTTAGCAGCCAAATTTTAAGGAAAGTAAGATACTGAAAAAACTATAGATTATTCATTGAAGTAACTAAGAGTAGGGTAGGCTCAATATCACGTATTTTCTAATTGATTTAAAGAGCTAATTTAAACTATTTGAAGGTTCTGTTGAAAAGGAAGATATAGTATGGTAATTAAAGTACATTACGTGGTGTCTTAAATATTGTATTAGTATTTTTGTTCTGCTCCACAAATTTCTTATTAAAATTGGGTAAGTTATTTTTCTGGAGACTTTCATTGGTTTGTCTATTTGTTTTCACAATTTTTGGATTTGATGATCACTGAATTCCCTTTTCATAGATTTATTTACAGATACCGAGAAAATGTAACATTCTTTCTCAAGAAAAATGCATACATATTCAGAATTATGCCCAGAATTTCAAATGATTCATCGACATTGTCTACCCTTGCAACCCTTCCATGACTCCCCTAAAACCTCTGCTTTAACTAGACCTGAATCACCCAATTAGAGTGAACAGTTTATTCCCATTAGCTTGTAGATCTCTGCAATAAAATAAGTTTGAGAATGACAAGGTAGATGATCGGATATCTATTGCAGCATAACAACCCACCCCCAAATTTGGTGGCTTAAAATAACAGTTATTTATCATTTCCCACAATTCTGCAATGTGCCGGGGCTCTTTGGGCAGTTCTGTGGCTCTAAGTGGAGTCAGCTGGAGCCCACATACGGTTGTATTCAGCTAGTGTTTGAGATGGGTCAGAAACTCAAAGAAGCCTTTATTCACATGCCCCGTGCCTCTTGCTCTTCCCTGTTGTCTCTTCACCTGGTAAGACTGAGCTTCCTTAAAGGGTCATTGGAATTATTTATCAGTCACATTCGCAGAGTGTGTGCTCCAAGAGGACAAGATCCAAGGTGCAAGCACGTAGGAAGGTCCTGCTTGCAACACACTTACTAATATCCCATTTGCCATAGCAAATAACATGGGCGCATCTAGAGTCAGTATGGATGGATACTATACAAGGGTGCGGATATCAAGGTGTGATTCAAAGGGGGCCACCCCAAAGGAATGTTTTGTTTGCTGTAAATACTTCCCAAAAAGAAGGAGGCTTAATTTTTTCTACTAGGGCAAACCTTCAAGCGTAGGCTGAGTAATAGCCTACAAGGGAATTCAGTAGAAGTGATTGCTACATTGAGATGAATAAAATAACCTCCATGATCATAAGATTCTAGATCAAAGCTGACTCCAAAGTTTGAGTCTGACTTGAGAAATGATAAGTGCTATTAATAATAAGAGGAACAGCAGTCTGGAGTCTCAGATTAGGTGGAGAATGATAAATGTGGATAGATTACCTTTTTTTTTTTTTCATATAGAAGAAAGATAATCAAGAAATAATGACTTTTATTCTTTCCTGTCTTAGGCTGGATGTCGACATAACTGAACTTCACAGTTGGATTACTCGTTCAGAAGCTCTATTACAGAGTCCTGAATTTGCAGTTTATCGGAAGGAAGGCAACTTCTCAGACCTTAAAGAAAAAGTCAATGTAGGTTATGCATTAATTTTTATGTATTTTCTTAAGTTTCGCTGCTTGTAAACTCTATTCTTTGTGCTCTCTGGTTCTATTAGAGTTGAAAAGATTAAAGCAATGTGATATCATGCTTTTAAATATATTTTAAAATATATTTTAGATTTGAAGCAGAATCAAAGTTTAGCCTAGTAGAATCATTCCTGGTTCCGCTGTAACTGACCAGGAATGGTTTTCATAAACCTTCTTTAGCTTTTATATTGTTTAGCTTTAAATTAACATTTTTATGGCATGAATTTATATTGATTTTCCTTCATATATTGCTCTGTCACCTAAAGCCTGGGGCTTAGAAAGCTGCAGAATAGAATAGAATAAACCCTTAGAAATGCTATACTTGGAACTCTTGTCCATGGTTTCACTATCATCATAAAGATAGCCTTTATAGTTAGTAATATTTGTCATAAATTATAACACATTTGCTTTCTCTATACATTTACATATTACATTATGATAACAAAAGAAGGCCCCAAGATTTTTCTATATTTACTTACGATAAGAGATGGTTTGCTGTTTTTATTCCCGAGATGTTATAATTTTTTCCATCATAATAGGGATTTTTATTAATTAAATAAGAATTGCTTCATCTTCAGGGACGTTATCAGTTCTTTGATTTTTCAACTTCGACAATTATAAAACATCCATTGTTGGTATGTAATCGGCAATATAGGCATATCTCGTTTTATTGAGCTTCACTTTATTGGGCATCACAGATGTTGTGTTTTTTTACAAATCGAAGGCAAGATCCTCTTCCACCAGCAAAAGATTATGACTCAGTTTAATTGTAGCTCACTTTATTGCGGTGGTCTGGAACTGAATCTGCAATACCTCTGAGGTATGCCTGTAGTTTGTAAGAGAAATTCTAACAGGCAGAGTAAATACTGTGCAGTGGCCAGGCTAAAGAAACAGATATTCTGAATGTCAAATAATTTTAGTATAAGAAGGGAACATGTGTGGATTAACTATGCCTAATCTTTTGAGCATTCTATTTTACGAATTACAAAATCTATTATATTTTTACAAATAATACAACACTACCTCATAGGCAAGTAAATACTTGCTGTGGGGTTGCATCTTTTGGAGAACAAAAGATCTTGGAGAAAATAATGTATTTTTTAGTCTGTTTTAGAATGAGAGATAATTTCATCAACATTTCTCAGAGTTAACTTGATAAATTGGAAATTTATTTTAAAGTTATATTATCTGTTGTCAGCATAAAATAGACTATGATAAAGTGTCAAGAAAAGGGAACTATGATTATATTATTAATATTTTAGTTTTAAAATTAAGTTGAAGAATATGATATATAGTAGAAAATTAACAAAATGTTTTATTTCTAAGTATATTTATTTGAGGATATATTTTTGTTATGATTTTTGAGAGAAATCTATGAGTAGAAAATTGCTTAGAGAAAATGTCCTCTAAATAATTTTCAAGGTTCATGTTATATATCTGACCATTGAATGTATGAATCACTTTGGGTAGACATTTTACTAGCTAATTAAAAAAATTTTAATCTGTCTGAATCTCATCTGTTTATCATCCTGTTTCTGTATCTTAAAACAGCTTTGATCAAGCAGGAAAATTGAATTCCAGCATTTAAGTAATATAAATTTAAAATTTTCCTGCTATCATATGGTTACCTAGAAACAATTTGCATTTAATCAATAGTGTCAGCAATGACAGACTGAAAGTGCTAAAAAAATGTACAATATTGTATGAGTGGTTTTCTAATGCCTTGTGAGTCACCTTTATCAACTTCTACTCTCATTTTCTGAAATAACATCATTCTTAATTGCCTACTAAAATAGGACATGAAATGATTTATCTAGACATCTCTTCAAGCTAAATATAATCTATATGTATTACAAATCCTTGAGAGGAATACATAATAATGATGATGGAAATGCAGTTTAGGTGTACACTAATTTTTTTATGTCTTCACTGTCAGTTTATGTAGGTTATTTTGAACACATGGAGGACCCATCTTATGAATTTGAGTGATATTAATTCATTTTTAGGCATCCATTAAAAATGGCTGAATGTTACCTTTTTGTTCACTTTATTTCTTCACCATTTATTGTTTTCAAGTGCTTTCAGCCAATTAGAAAATCTTAGGACATTATCAGTTCAATTTTATATACTTTCAGACCTAACATAATGTTTTCTCTTCTTTTAACCATGTGTTTTATACATACAATTACCATAATGCACTGACTTAAAAGTTGAGTTCTAGGGGATATTCCTAGTCAAAGCTTGGTCCTTGGACAACTAATATTGGCATCATCTGTAAAGTTATTAGAACTGCAGGGTTCCAGACCTAATGAATCAGAACTTGCCTTTAAACAAGATTCCTAGGTGATTCGTATATACATAAAGTTTTGAGAATCAAACAAGACACATGTGGAATTTTATGAGACTCCTGGATGCTCCTTCACTCATTCTGTTAATGTCACCACAGTTCAGAATTTTTAGCTGAATATCAAGTCTAGTTACTCAGCTTCTTGAACTAAGTAAGCATGTGGTAATGCAAGTTAGTAATTAAAATGACAAAACAACCTATTTATCCACAAGGTGATATGGTAAGGTGTCTGAGAATCTGGGAATTTAGTACAATGTGCTTTTGAAAACCTTCCTACCAGCTATTAAGGTCAAAGGCTTTGGGCTCCTTCTGGGACCTCTGCTTGCTTATATCCATACCAAATCAACTTTTAACCAAATTCTGTTGGAAATCTGCAAGCCAATTAATTCAACATTTCTCTTATCTGTTATCTATGTTTACCACCCAGAATATAGGTACCTCTATTCATGTGTCATTTCTTGTATCTTTATGTCTGTGCTCTTTTCTCTGCCTCATTTCCCTTTTGTGCTTTCCCAAGCTCTCTCACTCTGCACTCCAAACTACTTCTTCCAAGGCAAACTCTCTATCCTATATACTCATTCTATTTGTACATGGAAATGACTTCTACCCTTAACAATTCTACTATGACTAATGACTCTTTCACCCACCCACTCATTTAGAATTTCTTGTGTCCTCATTTCCCAGGGCCAATTCCAAAAGTACCGCTTGCTGTGTAAAAATCTCTCTTCCTTTGTATTTGATGCCAAGTGACCATCTATCATTCACCATTTTATTATATTATTTTCTCATTGAAGACTCTGGCACCAGATTCACAGTCATTCTTATCCAAGTTGAGCTTTCATTCTTAATAATCTCAGCCCATGTGGGCTGTCTTGCTATCTCCAGAAGCTTTCATTTCCCTAATCTCCTCAATTCAGCTATCCAATCGTATAACTATACTGTAGATGTTTCATTGCCAAACGTTACTCTATTTTTGAATCACACTCTAACAGATTCATCAGTACTTCTTTATAAGCTTTCTATGCATCCCTAGTAAATTTTCTCCTCAGTTTTTCTCAACAATTATTTCAAGTTTTTTATGAGTTTCTTAAACTTTTACTCGCCATTTATGGTAGATGACTTTCTCTCTTACTTTAAGTAAAATAATACAGATTATGTATATTTGTGCCCATAATCTCTTTTTTTTCCTCTCTGCCTTGGTGGAAGAGACTGTGCTTTGGCTAGTTATGGCTAATCTGTTCACAGTGTTCTCAATATCTTCATTGTCCATATCCTAAGGAACCTGTTTCCATTTAGCCTCACATCCATATCTCCAGTTCCTCTATTTTCTGGGTCTTTATCATAAGCCTTTAAATAGGCTGTATTTCCATCTTTGAGAAAAAAACCACCTCTCATATATTTTTTGTGCCTTATTTTGTTCCTCTGCAGGACTAGACCCTATTAACCTCTTTATCCTTCTCGAAATTCTTTCCTCCCTTGGTTTATGGGCTACCCCTACCCGCTGGCCACTTATCTGTCTGTCTGTCTGTCTGTCTGTCTATCTATCTATCTATCTATCTATCTATCTATTTATCTATCTATCTATTTTTATAGTTTTGGCCATTTGTTCCAGCTCATTTTTCCTTTAATATTGATATTCCCTATAGATCTTCCCTTGTTTTTCTTCTCTGGATTATCCTCATTCCTTCCCAATCAAATAGCAACTATTTTCTAATGACCACCAAATATATATCTTCAGTTCATGTCTGTCCCTTAAAACAGTGGTCCCCAAACTTTTTGGCACTAGGGACTAGTGTTTCTATAAGAATCTAATGCCTGATGATCTGAGGTAGAGCAGAGGTAGTGATGCTAACGCTGGGGAGCGGCTGCAGATACAAATGAAGTTTTGCTCGCTCACCAGCCACTCACCTCACGCTGTGTGGCCTGGTTCCTAACAGGATATGGACCAGTACTGGTCTATGGCCCGGGGGTTGGAGACCCCTGCCTTAAAGCATAAGCCAATATATCTAATTGCCTAATAGACAACTTTAATTGAATGTTTGCCTGAAAACTTAAAATAAACCTTAATATCTTCCCAGACCTCCTTTACTCTTTCCTTTTCCTCTTCCAACAACCTAATGCAGAAACCAAAAGCTAGCTGAGTCATCTGGATTTTCCTATACCATTCACAAGTCCACTCTTTGACAAGTTCAATTAATTTCTCTCATTTACCAGCTCTTGAAACTGTCCAATTCTCTGTATTCCCATTACTACAACCCTGATTAAAGTTAATATCATGGCTTACCTCTGTTTAAGATGAAAATCCCTAGCTGGTCTTTCCTGCCACTAATGTATTCCTTTAGAAATTTTCACATCACTTCTGTCAAAGTGGACTTATTAAAACATAAGTATTATCCTATTACGCCTCTGTTATATTCATTTGAGAAAGACAAAAAAGGAGCCACTGATACCCAGGAACTGACTTGGCACTTCAGTTAGGCCTTGGAGTTGCTGGATGCTCTCCTAGTGCTTGCAGCTAGTTTGAGATGTTTTGCTGTTGAATATGAGCAGTAGCTTAGAATGCCAACGTCAGACAAGGCCATGTCATGATCCTGATAGA